TCGTAGATATGGCTGGGATGGGATATTAGGGATTACCTTCCAATCGTAGATATGGCTGGGATGGGATATTAGGGATTGTCCTCTAATCCTAGATATGGCCGGGGTGGAATATTAGTGATTGCCCTGCAATCGTAGATATGACTGGGATGGAATATTATGGATTACCCTCCAATCGTGATATGGCTGGGATGGGATATTAGGAATTGCCCTCCAATCGTAGATATGGCTGGGATGAGATATTAGAGATTACCCTCCAATCGTATATATGGGTGGGATGGGATATTAGGAATTGCCCTCCAATCATAGATATGGCTGGCATGGGATATTAGGGATTACCCTCCAATCGTATATATGGGTGGGATGGGATATTAGGAATTGCCCTACAATCGTCGATATGGCTGGGAAGGGATATTAGGAATTGCCCTGCAATCGTAGATATGGGTGGGATGGGATATTAGGAATTGCCCTACAATCGTATATATGGGTGGGATGGGATATTAGGGATTACTCTCCAATCGTAGATTTGGGTGGGATGGGATATTAGGGATTATCCTCCAATAGTAGATATGGCTGGGATGGAATATTAGGGATTGCCCTCCAATCGTAGATATTGCTGGGATAGGATATTAGGAATTTCCCTCCAATCGTAGATATGGCTGGGATGGGATATTAGGAATTGCCCTCCAATCGTAGATATGGGTGGGATGGGATATTAGGAATTGCCCTACAATCGTAGATATGGGTGGGATGGGATATTAGGAATTGCCCTACAATCGTAGATATGGGTGGGATGGGATATTAGGAATTGCCCTACAATCGTAGATATGGCTGGGATGGGATATTAGGAATTACCCTCCAATCGTATATATGGGTGGGATGGGATATTAGGAATTGCCCTACAATCGTAGATATGGGTGGGATGGAATATTAGGAATTGCCCTACAATCGTAGATATGCCTGGGATGGGATATTAGGGATTACCCTCCAATCGTATATATGGGTGGGAAGGGATATTAGGAATTGCCCTACAATCGTAGATATGGGTGGGATGGGATATTAGGAATTGCCCTCCAATCGTAGATATGGGTGCGATGGAATATTAGGAATTGCCCTACAATCGTAGATATGGCTGGGATGGGATATTGGGGATTGCCCTCCAATCGTAGATATGGCTGGGATAGGATATTAGAGATTGCCCTCCAATCGTAGATATGGCTGGGATGGAATATTATGGATTGCCCTCCAATCGTAGATATGGTTTGAATGGAATATTAGGAATTGCCCTACAATCGTAGATATGGCTGGGATGGGATATTGGGGATTGCCCTCCAATCGTAGATATGGCTGGGATGGAATATTAGGGATTGCCCTCCAATCGTAGATATGGCTGGGATGGGATATTGGGGATTGCCCTGCAATCGTAGACATGGCTGGGATGGGATATTAGGAATTGCCCTCCAATCGTAGATATGGGTGGGATGGGATATTAGGAATTGCCCTCCAATCGTAGATATGGCTGGGATCGAATATTAGGGATTGCCCTCCAATCGTAGATATTGCTGGGATAGGATATTAGGAATTTCCCTCCAATCGTAGATATGGCTGGGA